CAGGTTCCCATGCCTCTTCTCCAACTCACCACTCTGATACCACAGCTTTGCAGTGACCAGGGGACCTGCCGTCCACAGCAGATGCTCTCTGCATCCTGCCATTACACAATGCCATAACATTACACCTGTTCTGTGGCTTTCAGCCTTGGACAGAGGCAAGTTAGAGATGGAAGAAACCTGTTAGGTCATTTAGTCCACTCTCTGGTACTTAATCAAGTCCACTTTGAAGTAACTCAAGCAAGGGGACTTCTGCTACTTTTGCTGGGAGACTGGTCCTGTCTTAGATCTCAATGTTAGGAAAAATTCACTCTCGCTTTCTTTACCTCCATTTTAAAATGAGATCTCAAGCACCAACTGATAATATTTGGAAGGCTTCATTTGGCAATAACTTAGCCCCAAATAGTATCCTTTACCCCCAAGAACCATGAGCCATGTCAGGAGTAGCATTTGGAAAGCTGCCCCTCTGATTGCGCAATATAATTGTTCTACCTTCACTTGAGGGCTGGACATCGAAGGCATGATTAAACGCATCTGAGGTGGATGTGGCATCCTCCTGCTCTTCGTTTTCTGTGTCACATTCAATGTCGCTATCGCTGCTCATGCCTGGCAGGAGGTGAAGGACGTGCTTCTGACATAGCCCAGCTGCAAAGAGCAAAGGAGAACCTGCTGCAGTGAGATTCCTGTAGCCACAAAGTTCTCAGCTTCCTTTCTTTCCCAAGACGCACCAACGTCAAATTCTCGGGCTTGGCAGGAGAACAAGATAAAGTGAGCAGTGTGTAAACTTATTTACCAAAGCACTAAGGGATCAACAGCAGAACATGCTTGGGGAACAGTTTTAAAAATGTTCTCAGTCTGGTTATCTTATTCAATGGAGACTTAATTTAAAGGAGCAACTCTATAAAAATCCAACTAAACGGTGTAAGTGTGAACTTGTATAACTGCATTTCCTTTCTGTTTTAGTGGCTTTCCTCAGCTGGCAGCCAGCCCATTCTTACCAATGCTTCAGTGGACCACTGTGTAAATGAACTGAAGTCTAAATGTTTTTACTAGTTTTAAGACGTGTCAGGGCCTTTTAAGCAGACTTACAGGCCGACTCCTCCAAGCAGCACCACATTTCAATCAGGTTAACTTTCCTATTCAGAGGTCACAAACACATAACATGATTTTCCTACAAATATATCTCATCGTATTCTTCTCAAATGAAGACAGCCCTTTGTCTTGCCACTACTTGAAACTAATGATTAGTAAGGCTCCGTGACTTCTGCAGCAGCTAGCTCTGGGGCCGTCCGAGCAGATCAGGCAGCCCCTAGGCCAGTCGAACCAGCCGCTGCTGGGGCAGTTTAGGTATGGGAGGGGGCTCAGGGCTGGGGCAGGAGATTGGGAGCTGCAGGGACATGCCAGCTGCTTTTGGGGAGCTGTGCAGAACCCAGTAGGGAGTCTACTAGCCCCACCAACCCTCCCACCCCAACATCAGCAGGGGTCCGGAGCCACACACCGCTGCCCAGCCTCCCTCCCCCAGCACTGGTCTCGAGCAGCCCGGCCCCCCTCCCCTAGCAGGGATCCTGGGCTACACACCAACAGCACCCCCGCCAGCCCGAGTTTTAGTTAGGGGTATATAGTACAAGTCATGGACAGATCACAGGCCGTGAATTTTAGTTTACTGCCCGTGACCTGTCCATGACTTTTACTAAAAATACCTGTGACTAAAATGTAGTCTTAATGATTAGTGGTTGAAAACTAACCAAAACAGGAAATTACACAGGTTTTATGGTGTCTGGATTGGTTTGCTTTGTGCTGGCTATCAGCTGATGGACTGAGTGGCACTGATGACTAACAAGATGCCAATGGTTTTGCAGCGCAGTCCCTCAGAGCAAAGATGTTCCACTCCTTGCCCATACACCCCAGGTCAACTACATGAGTAGTAAGATTTCCACAACTTCATATAATTTCACCCCTTGCCTAAACCCCTTTATTTCAAAAGATCTTATCACGAGATCCAATGCAAATGCTTCTGAGAAAACAGCAATTCCAGGTGCTCTTCCAACTGCCGTGCCCAAGAGTTGACTGAACTCTTAAAATGGCATAAAGCAGCCTCCTTGACATACTGTGAAATTCTAGGCACTCATCTTTGAGCAGACCTAAGTAAGAAAAATGTAAACATGACTCCTTCAACCGCCCTTTTCTCTGAAGACTTTCTGGAATTACAATCGTATAAACGCACAAGCACAACACATTGAGCTGACATTGAAGTCAGATGGAGAAACTGGGTTTGCTCTTGTGTATGAAACATGCTCCCAAAGAAAGAGCTAGTTCTCAAAATTCACAGCTAATCATAGCTACCTGAAAACAAATGATTATGCTACTGCAATTTTTCCTTTGTGAAAGGAAATAAATTGTAATATTTGTTTCCTGGGGTTTTAACAATGAAATATTTTACTTAAAAAAAAAATTCCTCTTAATGCTTCCTCCTGTAACAGGAGAACTGCAGGAACACATCATGATCACGCTGCAGTGACTAAGAGAAGAAATTCAGTTTTATGTCACTGAGAGACCTTCTGCAAATGCCAACACCTACACAATATTGCACACTGCAGATAGAGATGGATGCTGGCACCTTAATATAGGCTTTGAGCTACAATTCATCAGTCATTGAAATTCAAATTAGTGCAGGGGTGGAAGGCAGCCGAGTTTTAGCAAGATATGAAAAACACTTCTGCATGGAATATCAATAAGAAAGCCAACAATATTTTCTCCAGCATGGAAAGACAAGGTGAAAGAGACAGGAATGCGTTTTCAACAACTGAGATTTCTTCTGATTTTCAGAGGAATTAGTGGACCTTGCATACTGCAAAACCCCAATTTAAATTAGACTTAAGAGGTGTCCAGTGCAGACATGGTCCCAGTCACCACAAGACTTACCCCTGCAAGCAGAAGCCTTATACCCCAAAAGGTCTCTTGCTGTATTTTAATAGGAACACAAGTGCAGTCCATCTTTTAAATTAGTAATTTGCCAAACCTCATCTCTAAAGTTAAGTCTTAAGATGAAAACAGGCATCCAGGGGTAGAAAAATAAACCAGAAACGTAAACTAAGAAAAAGCTCCTTGAAAAGTTTCTCTGTGCTCTCTGAATTCCATCACGCCGCTCTGTCATACACTTGAGAAGTCGTCCTTTTATTCGTTATAAATCTACCAAATGTTGCAACATAAGTTCAGCCCTCCAAATAAACAGATTTTTTACATAGTTTACAGAAACACTCTTGTTTTAAAGGGGTTGTCAATAAGCAGACAGTGGGCCAAATCCAGACCACTAGACGCTTTTGAACGTCTACAACCTTTTTATTTACTTATTATCATTATTGTTATTATTTTATTATCTTCCCTGGAGTCTGGACTTGACTATACCCTGACCAAGAAATTGGGACCTTGACAAAAAATAAATTAACTACCTCTGTTTTAAAGTGTCACTACAGTATTGGAGTATTTATTTTCTTTGATCTTGTCTTTACCTTCCTCTGGCTCTGCTGAAGTGCCCTCAGAGAGAATGGCCTGTAGCTCCCCAGTTTCCGAGTTGTTCTCTTGATCAGTTGGTCGTGTTCCTTCTGTATGACATCCTTTAGAATCTGACCTTAAAATGGGGTTGGTGGAAAAAACAGCATTAGCACCTAAAGCATTAACCCAACCATGGTGGCAGCTTTTCCTCCTAGTGCTACACGCAGTTTAGCATCGGGGAGCTTCTGGGAACTTCCAACTTTGAAGTTATTTGGAATATTTACAGGGTTCCATTTTGAGATCTGAAAGTACATAACTGATGCTCTCCAAAGAACGTATCCTCCTCTGACCCACAATGCTAGGTCACATTCAGCATCTGGAGTTTGTACCTCTACACAGCATGTACATTTAAGTTTTCTTAAAGCTACCCTTTCATACTATTGCTTAACATCAATGACCGAAAGCAAGCACAGAATTCAACATAACTAGTCTGTTTGCACAAAAGAACCAAGAGACAGCCCACCCCACCATTCATTGGCTTGCTATTTAGAAAAACCTGATCGCATACTTCAAAACTACTACTATACATGTTGTGTAACTATAAACTGTATTTGGAGAAGCACAGAAAAATCAGAAGTGAGGAAAAGAAAGGAACGGTGGATTCTCAGTGAAATATCCTCTCCGATATAAGGAAACTAGATGTAAAATCCTGGTGGCAAGAACATTAAAGTAGGAAATATTAGAAAAACGGACAAAAGTCTGACGTGCAAGTCTAAATGGGCAAATCTAAATGGCCAGACTACAGCTACTGATGCTTCAGCTTTAGTTAAAATGAGCTGTTATGACCCTCAAAAGTTCTATAAATAGAAAAATGAGGACATACAACTCACTTATGGGCCAAAGCTGGATGTCCAAAGGGAGTAGCACAAAAATGTGAATGACTTCAAAGTAATGTACGTTCCTTGATACATAAAAGGCTCGATTTTAGCAGTTTTGAATGTTCCATTTATAATTCAGCGAGAAAAGCACTTACCCCAGAGCGACAGCTTTTCTTGTCTTCTCCATAGTTGTTAAGCCATTTAAAGCAGAAACGCCCACATCAGAATCTGAGCCTTCGCACTCCCTTTCCTCTGGCTTAGGTAGTGCATCAGGAGCATTACCATTAGTCAGGGACCTGGAAGAGCCATGCCTACTGCCAGACTTTGAGCTTCCTATGCAACCTAAGAAGAGAAAAGATGAAGATAATTGGCTCTTATGAAACATTTCAAATTTTTCAAGTCACCATCTGAGCAGCGTTTGCCATTAGGATCACTTAATGTGTACTTTCCAGAAACATATATCCTCTCACCTACAGCTTCCATTTCTGGTAGCACAGGTTCAGAAAAGCCACCTACAGCTTCCACTTTTGGTAGCACAGGTTCAGAAAAGCACTTACAAGATTTCCCAGTACAGTACAGATTAACCTTTTGGATTTGTGTGAACTATGAAATTAGTTTCCCATATGTCAGCAATTCCACAGGTGCACTAATACAGAAAAATATATATCTGTTTTTTAATAGAGATAGATCCATCTATGGGGCTGGTCTACATAGGGAAAATATAGAGGGGTTTCTCTGCACTGGTGCAGCACCTCTGGAGATAGCAATGGTGAAAACTGTACAGTTCAGGGTACAGATGATTTTGCTCCCATGTGCATACACGAGAGCAGCAGTTCTCAATCTCTTTCTGTTCTGGGACCTCTCCCTGGGATCCCACTCCCATTAGCATGAACCATAACCCCCTGCCCCCAAATCCACTTGCAATTCTCAATTTGAGAACTGCTGCATTACAGTTTTCACTTTTGCTATCACTGGTAGAGCTGCACTAAAAAGTGTAAGAGTCTTCCTGGTGGCCATAATGTCCAATTCTATTACCACATGGTGCAGGAGTAAGTCTCACAAGGGCTTAAGGAGAATTTTCTTGTATTTCCTTTAGAGAAAACAGAACCGAGAATTTAAATCCTGGCTGGTAAGTTACAGCAGTAACTTGCTTGTAAATGTAGTAATTAAATACAATACTACAAACACCAATTTAGGGGTTTAAAACTATTTCAGATAGGCAGGTTACTGTTAGAAAATGGAAGTCCCAGGAACGCTAGACACAAAGGCTTAGTAAGATGGTGTAATGGGTTCTCAAAGGTCTGTATTGGTGCAATAATGTTAATCACGTTTAGGGGAAATAGGATCTGGTTTACGTACAAAGTTTAATCAAAGACGGGAACTTTATGAACAAGGATATGCTGTTAAAAAGCTTCTTCCCCGATGCATTCCAAAGCATATTTAAAGCACTCCCACATTTCAGGTTTACCTTCAGAGGAAGTCTGACAGTCTCCCTTTGAGCGAAGGTTATTGTCCCCACAGTCCATTGCTCTTCGAAGAGACAGGCTCCCTGCTGCTCCAGAACGAGTAGCTTTGGGCGAATTACTTTTCTTACTTGTGACTGAAAAGATATTTAAATCAAAAGGCGTGTGAATGTACTGCCTAGGCATCCAGTCAATTCTCTGCATCATCCCATCTTTATGTTGGCCTGAAGTGGAACTAACTGATGCGATGGCACTAGACATTCTCTTCCCCTTTATTCTTGAGGCCACCATATTGTCCCCCTCTCTCCGAATCTCTCAAACGCCTTCAAGGTTTTCATTACATATTATTCCTGTTGTGAAGGCATGTTGGGAAGAAGCCACTCGCTTAATCAATAATGCTCCTGAGACCAGACCAGGAATGGTTACCTTAATTCTTCGAGATGGGATTGTTAGTGAGAACCCACTGTATGTGAGCACAAGATTGGAGTCTTTTCAATAGCAATGTCTGTTGAGGCCACACATGTGGCCCAAGTCTCCTTGTGTTCCTGGTGAGCGCATAGAAGACGGAGTAGTCCCCCAACTCTCCCTCAGGTCCCTCACAATTTAAAGCCCATGCTAGCTGAGGACTTCAAAAGCAGAGACAGAGGGTAGGTCATGGGATTCACACTAACTACAGCATCTCAAAAAACCACAGTTACTACAGAGTAAGAAATTGTTCTCTCTTCTTCAAGTATGTGTCAGTGCTGATCCCACTGTAGGTGACTGACACGCTGTACTCTCCTTTGCTGGTGGGAGCAAGCAGCATCAGCTGCATTGGTAAAAAGGATTGATCTACTGCTCTCCCAAACTTAGCACCAGACTTGGCTGCAATGGAAAGGGTGCAATCTTCAGCGCAAGTCAGTGGGTTGGCTCCACATCACTGCTTTACAGATTCAGATTCAGTCACATTTCTGAAGCAGGCTGATTACGCTGCCTGTGTCCTGATGGAGCGTAACTTGACAACTGAAAGGAGACGTGTGCTACTAGTTGATAACAGGTGGAGTTGCAGAGGGGGATCCACTCAGAGAACCTTTTGACAAGCCAGCTACAGTCATGAAAAGGGGGAGAGAGCATCTGAAAGCTTTAGTCTTATCAATGTAATAGAGTAATGCTCTGGAAAAATCCAAAGTACCAATCTTTCTCTCACTTTGTGCTGAATGGTTTCAGGAAGAAAACTGGTAGGTTAATTGATGGATTTAGATGAAACTCCCAAACCACATTACAGATGAATTCAGAATCACCTTCTCTCTATAAAAGGATGCATAAGGAGGTCCAGGAGTAAGGGCTTGGAGTGCACTGACCCTCCAGGCAGAGGTGATAGCTACCAAGAAAACCAACTTAAGGGTATGATGTATTGAACAATCTGACAGTGGCTCAAAGATAAAATCCCAAGTATAAATTAGATCTTCAACCAAGGAACCTGAATTGGGGTGGGCATAAAAAATTCAAAACCTGCTTAAGGAACCTAATACTGCTTCTCTACCTGGTACAGGGGCCAGCATCTGCCACAAGGCTTTAGCTAGGTCAAGCTGTCCCTCATTTATGGGAAGAACAATTCTGAATGGACTCTCAGTTGTCAAAAATATCAAAACTGACGACATTTCTCCAATGCAGCCCTCCCTAGAGGGTCTGAAATTCTCAGAAGGAGCTCCTGGAAAACTGGAAGTTATGCTGAAGACACCACTTCAGCAGGCAACAAGGATGAGAAGTCTTTTGGTGGTAAAGCAGGACACTGGTGTTCCTCAGCCCCCAGATCTGGTTATTCTTGATGGCACTCCCTGTGGTCTGGCAGAAAGGTGATGGGGAAGCGATCACTTCTGCTCTCCAGCATGCTTCTAGCACACTGATATGGCAACCCCCAGTGAGCCCAACAAGGTGATGGTGGCATGTCATGGGGATATTGCTCGCTAGCTTGATATTGGCTAGTCCAATGCCGTTCCTTTGGGATAGTAGTTAGGTCCTGTACGGAGCGCAGGCAGGCCTCTTTGGAATATTGATCACAGATTGTAGAGGAGAGGGCTCTCTGCTTAAGAACGTTGGGAACGTATGCATTGGTGATGGAGAGGAGGAATAGACCACCTATATGGGAAGTACAGAGAAATGTGGATGGCACTCCTGGTACCAGGGTCTGTACCAGCAGGTGCCTCGATAATGGTTACAGACCTAGCTCATCCAGAGGCTCATCTACTATAGGCATCATTGCTGAGCTGAGCGGTGCGACACGACACCCAATCTTGAGTTGGTGCTGGAGAAGTTTTCCTTTGTGCCACAGGCTGCTCATCAGCCCTCAGAGCCGTGCAGGACTTTGTGGATTTGTCCCCAGAAATTTTATGTGGTCTATCTTTGTAGGAAGGCTCTGAGCACCGTGTGGAGTCTCTGCTCCTGTCTAGAATGGCACCTCTTGGTGCTGGACTTCAGTACCAGACTTCAGTGTCACTGTGTCTGCTTTAGTGCCAACATCTGCAATACAGGTGGAGTCTGCTTCAGTGCTGGGGGCATTGGTGTTGATGCCAGGTCTTTTCTTGGTGTCATCTTCTCTGCACTGGTCTTTGGAGTTGTCTGTCTGCTAGATGGCTGCTTGATGAAGTCTGTTTGTCCGCTGTCGGGACTCTGGTGCCATCTCCTCAGGATCTGAAGAGGCCTTCATAGATTGCTCCAGGAGATGAAGTTTCAACCCCAGGCCATGTGACTTCTACATTCTTGTGATCAAAAATATGCACACCGAACATCTACTCAGTATATGTGACTCTCCTAAACACGAGAGGCACCTGCTATGTCCATCTTTCAAAAGAATTAGTCCATCACAGAATGTGCAAGCTTGAAGCCCACAGGTTTCAAATCCTTGTACACCAAGGGAGCGGACAGAAGTGTCTGGCAGTTAGTATTCAATCCAGATGGGTCAAAGGTGTTCACAAAGGTCGTATACCAGTAGATCAGAAGAGTTCTGAAGATTTATGAAGCATTTTGAGAACTTTAGTCGGAGCTAAGAACTACCAGGTCAGATAGTGGTTAGGATCCATCTTGCTGCCTTGAGCAATAAGAGGGAACTGAGGGAGAGTTGTGGCTGCCCTGGCCTTTAGGACTTTGTATGAGAGCATAAAGAGGCACAGGGGACGTGTGTGTGACACTGCTATTCAAAAGACTCCGATCTCACACACAAACACCTACTATGGGATTCACACAGACACACTCGAAGAAAAAGATTCTCATGTGATGAGAAGAAATTACACACTCTCTGGAGCGCTGAGAATTTTTTTTTTCCCCCGGCTTGGATTTTTGCAAGGTTGGTCACATTTTAGTAACAAACTTGTGAAAGTTTAGAGGTGATCTGCGTATAGTCTGCAGGTAACCTTTGCCACCAAAAATTATCTTTACAGAGGATTAAACTTCATGCTACCTACCCATAGGGTCAACGTGAAATTAGATAAATAACATCTGCAGTGGGCTTCAAAGATTCTTATCACATTCTGGAATATTATTAATAACTATAATGCGCTTGCTGAAAACGTTAGAACCAGTTTCTAGAGAAGCCATTTAATTTCTGTCAATAAACATGAGTTTCATGTTTCTGCTTCTCAAAAGATATTTACTATAAACAAACTCAGCTATAAAGTTTAAACTATAAAAAGCCTGAGTATTATTCCCAGACACCTAGATACAGTATCCGTCTACACAACTGCCATCTAGAGAAGTGACAGCTTTAAGCCTTCTCCTCCCCCATCCCACACTTACAACTCTTTATGTAACAGCTTGTAATTGATGATTTTGTCAGCAACTCCATTCCTATTTCTTGTAACTTGCTGCAGCTTTCTGTTCCACACGCAGCCAAAGGCCCCTGATCACCAGGGAGGAAGCTGGGTTGCCCCTCACAAGAGCCAGCATTGCTGCTTCTTACTTCTGACAGCTGGTTTTTTACATCAGACATTTTGCTTCGAACTTCAGCCATCTGAGTTTTGAGTCTCTTCAGCATCTTTAAGTCAGGTGGCACACGCCACATTGCCTGGTGCCTCCGCTGGTCTCGGTCTTTTAGAGAGTAGGATGATGCTTTACAAGGAAAAGGTTAAACAAACACGAAGGTTAAAAATGTCTGTAACCTCCATCAGTAGGTTTTTTTTTTCTTTAAACTCTTTCATTATTAAGACTGTAAGAATTTGTAGAGAATGTGTCAGTTTCACATCCAAGTTCCCATGCACTAACAAACTGCTCCAAGGTCTTGGTTGCAAATACTATAAGAGGATGTTTGTTAAACTGTTTCCATAAACATCTTTTAAAAATCTTGGAACATTTCTATTGGTTTCAGATTTTTAAATGCTTCCCTTTTATCAGATTTGTCCCGACAATCCCTTTAAAATAGCTGACACAAGGCTGCCTATGTGATGAGAGCAAAGAATCAGTGATAGTACTATTTCCCTTGAGGGCAGGGAGAAATCCATGTTACTTTTTATTGCCAGTGCAGATGGGAAAACAGGACAGTGTTAGGGAACAATTTTAGTGTTAAGACTGCCTAAAAAAATGGGAATAGCACAGTGTTTTCCTGGGACTGGCACTGGCAAAAAAAGACAACATGCAATAATCTGAATCAGGACCCTCATCACCCTGAATAAGACTGCTAGCACCAATTTGTATAGGGCAGACATGCTCAAAGAAGTTTCAGACTAGTTGTGTACACAGTACTCTCTGTAGTTACTCTAATAGGTGAAAGAGAAATGGGTGCCCAACGCAGAATGATCCCATTTCATCTAACATAATCAAACTCCATCCCCTTCCTCTGGGCTACAGTGACATAGGGCATCTACTCTCAGCAGCTCTCTCCACCTCAATGGGAACAGTGGGCAGAGGTTCTTTCATGCTGGGTGCTTTGCTTTCCCTTAGTGTGCCAGTCATGGCGACGGAGAGCCTTTCACATCTCTGGACAAGTTTGAGTTCACCTGCTCAACAGTTTTCTGGCAAGTGCGTTTCTTGGATATAAGAATAATTTTATAATCATTTCACATTAACTGATGATTCAGAGGAGGAATCTGAAGTAAAGGAAGTCCCTTAGGTCCCTTGCTGCCCCAGGTCAGCTCTAAGAGATACTATCTATGTGGGCCTTTATGTTAATTAGCCAGAGTTAGATCAACTTGGAAATCTTCTATTCGTTACGCTTTCAGAATTCTAAGTATCTCATTGCAAATTCAACTGGCTCAGACCTATAACCCCAATGGCTTTTGAGTCCCTCGGAGACAAAACTTAGCAAGCTCTGGAAATAAAAGAAGCCTTGTTCCAACATGGTGATTGAACAAGGTACAGGAACAAAGTCAGGTATTTAAGGATCTCAGCAAAACAGAAAGACCACTCCAAACGCAGTAAGTGGCTGAAGGAAGCAGAGACCCTACCCACCACAACACTATCGTGGAGGCCTCAGTCTGGGTCATACTGCCAACAGTGCAAGTTCATCCATCTCTTCAATGCCTTCACCTGGTCTCTCTAGTTCTGTCAAGGCAGAGTCTAGACAGCACCTGCAGAGAGTCTTGACAGTACACAACCTTGCATCACCTGTAGCTCACTGGCCACTTCAAACCGCTTCTTTTGTCCAATCTTCAAGGGTTTTTGTTTGTTTGTTTGTTTGTTTTTTAAAAGCGGACTACATTGCATAGGACTTATTTACCCCTCCACTGTCTTTATACCCTTTGCAGTTTGGAAGCTAGATCAAGCTCTACATCATTATGAAAATCTTGTTAATCTAAGAAGAGAGACTTTCCTTCATTAAAACAAATTTGCAGAGAGGGCTCACATCAGAGACCAAAAGCTTTTCTCTATTTATCTGCAGAACAGGTGTGGCACAGACAGCAACAGGGATTTGCCCTACAGAGTCTCCTGCCAATATACCTCAGCTGCATTTTGCAAGAGGGCAGGAGGAAGCCAAGTTTGGTTTTTATGATCCATCCAAATCTGGACCTCTCTACCAAGACTATCAACATGGTCACCTGTCCCCTAACCGCCTCAGCATCATTTCCTACTCTGAATGGATTAGAGCTATTAGCTGTCCACTAGCCTCTCATGAGATTTTTGGTCACTATACAAAGTAGGCCTCTTTGGAAGGATATTTTAGTGTTCCCACTTCTTTTGCATCTACAGAACACAAACATTTAGGGAGCAGATCATGTCCCGCAGATCTACAAGTGCAGTGGATGCTCCATATACATATCTGTCTGTGCCCCTGTAAAAGGAAATTGAGAGGAATCTGTCCGTGGATTCATGATCGTTTGGCAAGGTCAGGGTCCTGTAGTATGGAAGGAGGTGAGAGCAGGGACACAAGGATGCAAAATATTTCCCTACCAACCCAGAGGGAAATATGGAGGCACATCATAATAGCTTGGGACAGAAGGTAGGTGAGAGAATATCTTCTACTGATCACCTTCTGTTGGTGGAAAGTACAAGCTGTCAAGCTACACATAGTTCTTCTTTAGGTCTGGGAATGTATTAGAAAGGCTTTCCTGCAGAGTCCCCTCTACAATGGAGAGCATCCCTTTAAGAGGAGTCCTTAAGGACCGACTATGGCAGGGGAGCTCCCGAGAGCACTGCTCCAATAGAGCTGTGTTACTGGGGAGGGAGAGGTGAAACCTCCCTACATTTTTGCAGGGGCTTGTACAAAGTACGCCACCACTGCAATGGAAGAATCCAAAGAAACTAAGCAGAATCATCATGCAGTTTTCCTGCAGGAGGGATGATCTAACCCTGAACTTGCATTTTGTATTTCCAGAGAGACCAACTGGAAGTAGGAAATGCAACAAGAACAACTGACTGAATAACCCTGCTTGCCACTGCATGAATTTTACAACAAGACTAAATTTGAACATTAACATCAAAACTCAAACCATTCACTTCCTATCTTTAGATTGGACAGTGCAAATGCCGTCATCATGTCAAGAGAAAGAGCATATATCTGTACCAGATGGACTATTATTTCTCTTCTGCTCTATTAAGCCACCAAATGGTTGTTTCAAAGTGACCATAAATAAGATATTGTGGCTGTGGGCCAATTAGCCTCAAACAAACATTAACTCTGCTAAATCTATTTATGAGGTTTGATTCAATTTACTGATTCTTCACTAACAAAGGAGAGGAACATCTGACCTTCAACAATAAATCAGCTATGACAGAATTACATTTACAGCTTGCTATCTAGCTTTCCTTTGGTTCACACAAAATTAAGGTTATGGCACATCAACCTAATACTATAACTCAAATACATGTTATGCAAAATACTAACAAAGTTATTTAATAAGTATCAGCGCAGAAACTGACCACTATTTTCTTCCTTTCAGTCATTCTGTACATGTTTCTTTCTCCATGAGTTTCTGCATCAGCCTCTACTATTTTTCAAGTGCCCTCTCCTCACTTTTCAAGCCCTCCATCATGACCACTACCCTCAACTTCTCTTAAACTTCCTTCCTGGCTTTACAATCCACCTGATCTTGCCACTTGTGTTCTGTGCCTGCTTTCTCGTGTGCTTTCTTCCATGCCACCTCAAATGTCTGAAACAGCTTCCCCACTATCATACATAACCCTTTCAGTAGCTCCACTTTCAGCAAACAGATAAAAGTTTGGAAGCTGAAATAGCCATTCCCTACACTGTGTATATTGTGTTTTGTTCTGTTTAGGTCTATTGCACCTTAATCCCTTCCAGGTGGAAATCCATTATTTATCTAGCACTGATCTATTACTGCAAAGTACTAGATAACAATAAGGTATTACTCTCTTCACAGATACCAAGATAGCTACACAAGATGTGCATGGAGTTGGAACTACTCTTCAGGCATCCCTCCACCCCCCGAGTTATCTTTAAACAGAGACAGACACTGTCCCTGCTCCCACACACATTTTTTTTGACTCAATACTCATCTGCAGTTCTAAGTCTGAAAGCAGCTATTAAGCCAAAGAGTACTTTGTAGTTTGGTGCACACAGTGACTACTATGAAATTACGAAAATACAGCAACAGAATTCAGTGGCCTTTCCCCAGTCCCTCTTCATGATGGGCAATGCAGACAAAGCTAATGGAAACTCTGAGTCATTGTGAATAGTTCTCTGAAAACATCCAGAGTCAGCAGCGGCTGTCAAAAAAGCTAACAATGTTGGGACTCATTAGGAAAGGGATAGATAAGACGACAGAAAATATCATATTGCCTCTGTATAAATCCACGGTACGCCCACATCTTGAATACTGCATGAAGATCTGGTTGCCCCAGCTCAAAAAAAAAGATATATTGGAATTGGGAAAGGTACAGATTAATAAGACTGGGACTTTTCAGCTTGGAAAAGAAACAACTAAGGGGGGATATGATAGCGGTCTATAAAATCATGACTGATGTAGAGAAAGTAAATAAGGAAGTGTTATTTACTCCTTCTCATAAAACAAGAACAAAGGGTCACCAAATGAAATTAATAGGCAGCAGGTTTAACAAACAAACAAAAAGAATTATTTATTCACACAACACAGTCAATGTGTGGAACTCTTTACCACAGGATGTTGTCACAGGCCAAGATTATAACAGGGTTCAAAAAAGAACTAGATAAATTCATGGAGGATAGGTCCATTGATGGCTATTAGCCAGGGGATGGACAGGGATGCAAAAGTGTCCCAAGCCTCTATTTGCTAGAAGCTGGGAATGGGCAACAGGGGATGATTACCTGTTCATTCCCTCTGAAGCACCTGGCATCGGCCACTGTTGGAAGACATGATACTGGGCTAGATGGACCTTTCTTCTGAGCCAGGATGGTCATTCTTATGTTCTTAAATAAATCTCTAACGAATTACTTAGATTTGATGTGCATCTAACTTTACGTCAAAGGAATACATGGAAGAGTTGTATTTAAATGCACCATTTACCTCTGTTCTGCAGAAGTGAGGCAGGAGGACGTGGCTGTAGACCCCACAGATTTTCCATCCCATTCCTGTCTTTTAGGTCCAATAAATGGATTAAAATTAAGGGATCTATGTCTAGTAAACTGCTGCTGGCTGCTGAGCCTAAAGTACTTCCTCCCCGCCTTGAAGATCTGCCACTTGCATTGGGATAGCCATGGCTACTACCTGAAAGAGAGAGCGCCATAGGAAAAGTACGTATACACCATGTCTGTCTGCATGTGTTAGGTTTCACTCTTTCACAAAAGAGCAGCTGAAAATCCTGGATATAGTAAGGATGGAAATCTTAAAAGCACTCCAAATAACCTCAGGAAAAGCAATCTTGTTACAAGGAAGTACGAATTCTAAAAGCACTGAAGAAAAACAAAAGTACATCGATAAAAAACTAACAGTCCCAAAAATGGAAAATCAACAGAATTTGACTTCAAATACAAAGAACATTAACTGTTCCTACTGATTTGCAGATTTAGAAAAAAAACCCACTAACATAAAAATGAGGAGTTTCTTTATCTGATCTAGAGAGATCTTCAATTAAGCCTTACTTTGAGCTATGAAATGTTCTTATTACATAATGTTTAGCAATCCCATAAGAGATCTGAGACCCAGCCACTGTGTCTGGAGTCCAATCTGGGAAATTAGATTAGACAGCCCAATAAGGCTTCCTTCCAAAGCAGGTGACCAAAACCAGCATTATCAGTATTGAGAGTGAAAAAGCACTATAAGCAATTAAAAGTGAATGGGTTACACGCATTCTTTGCATCAAGATTTACAAATACACTAAAATGACATGTGAAGAGAACCTTAGATAACACTGTATTCTGCAGACATTACACCCCCATTTCCACTCCTGTTCTTAACTGATTAATGCCATACTTAAATAAATTAGTCAGGCTTCTCAAATGCCTGACAAGAAATGTTTTGAAGAGAGGCATACATTTGCCTGTGTTATGACAGAGACTGGATCTAAGGCACAACAGGTTTATACTGAAAGGGAAAAAAGAGAGCAAGGATATGAAGATCAGCATTCCTTAAAGATTGCCAACAGACCTATGCTGCAGTATGTGGTGTGATCTGTGGGCACTGGCATCATGAGTGCATTTAAATGTAGATTCAGTCATTTTAGAAATCCTGGTAAAAACGTGTTAGATTTTTGACTTGCAGTCACCTTTATGCTGCAAGTGATCTTATGGAGTACCATTTAATTATTTATATTTTAATTTAATTCCTGCTCCATATTTAAAGATTCATACATTTCATGCCCCTCATTTCATTAAAACTTAGCTAATAACAGTGTAGCAAAATCTAAAGGAATGTGTCCAACGGTCAGAAACCACGGGGACAGCAGTAGAGTAGAAGCAAAGACATTTGCTGGTTTACTTTTTACTGGAATGGAAACATCTTAAAATCCAGGCTCCCAGAGAAACTTCAAACTGACATTTTTTTTTTAAGGATGTTCAATAGAAGGCCCCTCCACCGTTTTTTCTAAGCAGTGGGAAGCTGGCACTCTACTGCAATAATTAGTGTACAGTACATGATGCAGCATTTTCAAAAATAGAAAATGCCTCTAGAATATGCAGCTCAATATTGCCTCTGACGTGGCACTGAAAAGAACAGAGGAGGAAACCTGACAAATTATTGTTAGTTTGATTGTGAATGTTTCTTTCTGTACCTGATGCTCCACCAGCAGCAGCAGCATCATCCTGGAGATCTCCTTCTTCTAGTTCCATATTACTATTATATTCCACATCATTTTCTCCAGACCTTGGTGTGAAGAAAAATCAGACCATCAGCTCCAATTAGGCATTGCGATGTTGTCAACAGAAAAACTAAACATCTCACTAGTTTTGTAGCTTCCAAACTGCATGAACTAACAAGTCAAAATGCATCACCACTTGACTGTGAAACCAGAAGTCTTAAAATCTGACGTGTTTCCAAGAGGTGGAATTTTAGAACCTGATTATGCAAGCCTTCCATATTCATTACAAGAATATGTATCTTTAATAGTATGTTAAATATGAGGATCTGATAGTGTCCTTCAACTTTTCAATATTTAAATAGTCTAAAGTCTAAGTGCTCTACTTCTAAACAGCACTTGTACTTGTGTAGGGTATCACAGTGGTAAATTAGTGTAGGATCAAAGCTAACTAATCTCTTGAAAAGAGCCTTACGTGACATTGCTGGTCAAGGACAACATGTTAAACTGAATAAGCCAACACACTGGAAATAAATCAGTAAATAAACCAGGAAGAGATTGCTTGAAGACCTGGCATCTTGTATTTCTACCACATTACTATGTGTCATTTCCGTGCCAGCTTTTGGCCTCTGCGCTGTCACACATCAATCAAAGACATTGTGATATACAAAGTAAGTTGATTCCATTCTGATGGGAACTGACATTAGGCCAAGAGGATAACAATTCTGGGTAAGTTTTTGCAGTCACTCACATAGTCTCTTCATCAATATCATTCTCTTCAGTGTTACTAGTAGCTG